CCCCCCGCCTCCCGCAGACCCAGGCCTGGCGTCAACCGGTCTTCAGAGGGCTTCCTCAGGGACGCGGAGACCCCGGAGCCTGGCGGCACAACCCCCAGGGGCGCAGGGTTCCCAGCGCATGGGGGCGGCTTTGTGAGAAATTTCCAAAACCTCTCGAAATATCAGTTATAATTCCATGTCATTTTAAAATATATAAAATGCCATGATGGATGCGCAAAAGGGCAAATAGCCCATGATACCATTTATATGAAATGCCCAGAATAGGTAAGCCAGAAAGTAGGTCCGTGGTGGCAAGGGCGAGGGAGAGGGCGAGTGACTGCTAATGGGTTAGGGGTTTCCCTTGCGGAGATGAAAAAGTTCTGGAACCAGATAGTGGTGATGCTTATACAACATCCTGAGTGTACTTAATGCCACTGAATGGTACACTTTAAAAATGGTTAAAATGGTAAAATTTATGGTGTGTGTATTTTACCACAATAATATATATATACCATGACACTTCTCAGTAGGGATACATAGGTATCCCAGAACTAAGCTCATCAGAAGTTATTTTTCCAGGGCAGTGAAACCAGTCATCATTGGATAATTGAAAACGATGTTTAAAATGGGGTGGGGGGGTCTCTAAGAGTATTACATATACTGTACACTTTAAGTGAGAACATCAACATATACCAATTTGCCAATCTTGTTCTGCTGATTCAAATCCAGGTGTTGGTAGCATCACTCCGCTCTACAGACCTCCTCAAGGCTCTGTTTCAAGGCAGTTTATGAAGATTTAACAAATGAATCCACCCAAAGTCCTTTGAAGTTAGTTACATCCTCCAGCGCCCTAATTTTTACAAATGTAAAATGAAATTGTCCACATTTCTGCATAGTACAATGACAGGGACACACAGACTAACACTGTTAGCAAACTACACAAAGCTGGCACAAGGTTCTACACCATGGCATCTATGTGTTTTCATTGATCCTCAGGCAGCCTAGGAGGTAGAGATTTCTGTTACCATCCCCTCTTAGGGCTGAGGCAACGAGGCTGGGTGGTGAGGAGAATACCCACCTTACCTGCCGCCTCACTTGAACCTAGTCCCTCTCTCTGGCTTGTTGAAAGAGGCTGGGATCCTGCTGGAGAAGACCAGGGCAGACCTCGTGGTACAGGGTCACCTTGTGAGCAGGCTGCAAGAAGCCTTGGGCCGGGGGGGTGGGGGGGGGGCTGAGTTATTGAGCCCCCTCTTCACCCACTTGGCTGGCTGGTCCCCCCAGTTTGGGCCATTATGAGTAAAGTGCTATAAATAGTC